CTGCCGGGCCCAACTGCACTTAGCAAACCAACGACCCCGGCCCGCTGAGAGGAAGAGGGACCGACTCCGCGATAGCACCCCCACTGCGCCTGCGCGGCTGTGGCCCGCGCGTGTGCGTCTCGACGCTTTGTACCTTTCAGGGAACCCGGCGTCTCTGAGGGGCGGGGCTGAGCGGCCCCCGGGGCGGCTGACTGCGCATGTGCGATGGGCCCTGGCGGGAGATGCTACGCTGCGCGGGCGCCGCCGCTGCTGGCGGCTGTGTGAAGTTGAGGTCTTGCCGCGCAGAACAGAACGGTGGTTTTTGACTGGAATCTACTTTGTCTAAACCGTTCAAAGCACTTTGGTACTGGAACTCCAGAATGTAAATTCAGATTGTTCAAAAGCATTCTTATGACTTGTGGCGCTCGTTATAATGGTATTTCGCCCTAAACTGCCTGAAATGGGAGATGTGAAGCTGGGAGGTGGCAGTGTCACCACTGGGCACCACTAGTTAGCAAAGAAGGCAGAGGCGTCCCGTTTGAAAATGGTACAGTGGAGAAGGAGTGGACCGGACCGGGGGCCACGTCGTATTTGTGTTGAGAACTCTATGACTTAACGCTTGATACATTTTGCTCTCGTGGAAACTTCTTTATTTTTATACCTTGGCCTTTCCTATGACCTCTGAGGTAAGTTTTAAATAACGTTTTCATTAAATACGGTGAAAGTGTGTGAAAAAGAACGTTGAATGACAAATGTTAAAAAAAAGTCAATGAATAATCTATCACTTTTACCAGTTGTCTCACAATTGCTGGTTGCTGAATGTGGGCTTAGCCAAATCTCGGGAGGGATTGGATCCTGTCATACCCTGAACAAAACTGTCAGGTAGATGTGCACTTTCCTCTTATTTCTTCCCCCTCCCCAAGTCAGGTTTCACATTCCACCTATTGGAAAGGAAAGCAGTGGTTATCAGTAAATGATAAATCCATTCCCGTTAAGATATTTGAGTTTTGATGTGTGAGTGGGTCACCAGCTACATTTTAAAGAGAGACAGGGTGGAAGAGAGCAGGTTTGGAATTAGACCGACCTGGAGGGCCCTGTCCAGTGTGACCAGGGCTAGAGACTGACAGCCTCTCTGAGCTTCGGTTTTCTCATTGGTAAAACGGGTAGTCCGTGGTTGTGTGTCAGTTCATGAGAACCTACTGTTAAAATTTCACAAATTTAATTAAAAACAAAGTTACATAAATTTATAATTAAATTATGATGAAAACAAAGGCAAAAAACTCAAAACCCATCTTTTTCTAATTGTTTTACTCTTAGTTATGATGATAAGATTATGTCTATTGTACCTGTACGTGGAAATACGACTCAGTGGTGTGATACTGCGTATCTCTTCCCAACTCTGCATTCAGGGGTGTCATGCTGGTAGCATATCATGGAGGGCAGTGCTACTTAAATCCTAGTACAAATTCCTGTAATAGTGTTCAATAAATGACAGCAGGTTGGTTGGTTTTTTTTTTCTTCTTAAGTTTTATTGGAGTATAATTTACGTGCCATAAAAACTACTCACTTGTACAACTTAATGATTTTTAGTAAATGTATAGAGTTGTGCAACCACCACTACCACAACTCAGTTTTAGAACATTTCCATCACCCTACCTAAGATCCTTCCTATCCAGTCTCTATCCTATTCCCAGCCCCCGGAAGCCACGAATCCACTTCCTGTCACTACAGATTTGCCTTTCGTGGGCACTTCATATAAATGTAAGCATATAATATGTGGCCTTTAGCATCTGGCTTCATTCATTTAGCATAATGTTTTTAAGATTCATCTACTTTGTTGATTGTATCAGTAGTTTGTTTCTTTTTATTACTGAATATTATTTCATTGTGTTGTTTATCTGTTCACCAGTTGATAGGCATTTGGATTCTTTCTAGCAATGTTCCATAATGACAACAGGTGTTATTATCTAGGGCTTAGCACATAATGGGCTCTCAAAATATTTCCTGAATGGATATATTAGCAAATGAATGAGTCAGGGTGAAAAAAGTAGCCTGATTCCCTGGATGGACACAAGATTTTTGGGTTCTAGGCCTGCCTCTCCCTAAGTGTCAGTGTGACTGACCAGGTGGGGAACCAGGAGTTGCTGGGCTTTCGTTTCTCAGCTATAAAATGATCAAGCTGGTCTAAATGATCTGTAAACTCTTTTCTAAGACTAGAATAGAATAGAATCTATTTATCTTTTACTGTGCTTTGGCCACTCCTTGGGATTCTGATTCTGTTGGTCTGGCATGGGGCTGGGCATGCATATTTTAAAAAAGCTCTCTAGGTAATTCTAATACGTAATCAGCACTGAGAACCATTGACTTATCTGTTATAGCTAAAACATAATCTAGTAGACTTACATATATAAACAGATATCCTAGCTCTGGGATTCAGTAACATAGTGTATTTGTCACCATTCAATAAAGATTTTACATATATAGTATCTTTTAAATGCTGAAAACTCAGATTATAGTCAAATCAAATTTTAGCACTATTTCTGTGGTCATTATTTCATGTAGATTCTATCCATTTAAATATTCTTTGAAGACTTACTACTAGAGACAATGCTTTGTGTAAATTCTGGGTGGGCTTTTTCATTTCTTCTGTTTATCTCTTTACTATTTCCCTATAACTATGCACATTCTTTCTTCTGTGTGTTTGAAAGCAATGTTTATTTGTTATCAAGAGTCCATTTAAATGAGAAACAGTGAGATGAAGATGTGCTTGTCTTCTTTTTGTGGTGCATGGTTTATATGGGCTTTTTGGTTGTCTGTTAAAGGGGACTCAAGCTCTGGTGGGGGGCGGGGGAGTCACTACCTTTTGGTAAGATATGCTATGACAGATAAGCAGAGCATAGTGAATACGAGGATTCTAAGAGGAAAGCTAAGAATATGAAGCTAGATTGGAGACACAGCTAGAACAAATTAAACGGGGAAGAGGGACCTTCTGCCTGATAATAATGGACTACATATGGAGATAGATGCCCAAAGGAAAGTCTGAAGAGCAATATTCAGAAGGCTCCCAGGAGATCTGTGCATTAGAGGATGATATTGCATAGACTAAAGTGATTGAAGAGCAATTAAAGAAATATGTCTGGGAGTGGGAACAAACAAATTATGATCAGAGAGAGTATGACAGGTCACAGTCATTACTTTGGATGAAAGAGCAGTGCTGAATCGAGCCATTGAAAGAAATGCCTTTGGGGAGAGTGAACTTAATGAGAAGAGTTTTCTGGAATCCATCCAGCACGGAAAAGGAATCGGTCCTACAGCACCTAAGCCAAAAGGATGTACACTGACTGTGCCATCCATGGACCTGGTTCCAGTCTAAATACAACTTGCATGGTCCAGTGAGGTATGGAAACCCCTTGATCCTGTGGATCAAAGAGTCTGCCTTCAAGATTATGGTATTGTGAAAAGTAGGGTATTGGAAACCAAACCTGCATTCTTTCGAAAATTCATGTAGGATTTAGTCTTCAAGCTGAGCAAATGTCACAGCCTCCTGGTTGGGGAGCAAGGCAGAGATGACAAACAGTCAACAGCATGTTTTTGGATGATGAATGGTTGGTAAATGCCTAAATTTGGGAAACTACATTTTAATATTTGCTAACATTGCTGATGATCCTAGTCGTCTGAGAGGACAGTCAAGATGTTGCTTGTTTTACGTCCTTAACCTTTGCCTCTTTTTATGCTAGTCTCCAAGCAAAACAGTGGTCATCCTCATTAGTTGTGCGGTTTGAGGACCAAGCCAATGACTGGTGCCTGTCCCCTGCAGCCTGTGATGTCTGTCCTCTTGAAGTGTATTTTGGCACCCCTGAGTCTCACTGCAGTGATGTGTACAGCTAGTCCATGAGCCACTTATTTTGTGTGGGAATGGCTCTAGGGTGTGGATGTGGTCAATCATATGGCCAGAATCTGGGTCATCCCAAGAGCCTTGACAAGCTGTGAGAGGCTTTTAATGTCCATGACTCCTTACATGTGCCTCAGCTCATCTTTTTGGCTGAGTGTCCTTTAAAGTGCTCAGAATACAATAAACAGAGAACAGTAGTCTCTCTCTTTCTTCTAGAGCAAAATCTCCAGTGCTTTATGGACACTTTACAGATCGGTATACATAATTCATTTCTAAAACTTTAGCATATAGCTTCTGAATGCTTCATTTTTTTTTAAAATCATAGAGTACCTCTGTGTCTAGCCAAAAAGGTTTGACCTGATTCTCTACATGAGGTTATTTAAGGTTTGCTAGTTTGAGCCTGACTGACTTAGGGAAGATTTCATGTTGACCAGGGTCAGTGAAACTCTACTTATTCCATAGGACTGTTTGGACCT